AAACAATCTCTCCCATCGATACTCCATCTCTTGCCACACTCTCCCCAGTCTCTAAATCCACCACATCCACTGCCGGAGTCGCCACCGTCCTCACCCCCTGCCGCGACTTAAGCCGCGCCCTCTCCACCGCCGGTAGTTGGTCCCACTCTGCCTTCCACGAGCAACAAACAACAGTCCCCCCTGTTTCTGTCAGGCCATATCCATGAGTAACATCGAACCCCAATGATTCAATACGGAACAGAATTGTCGCAGGCACCGGCGCTCCGGCAGTGAGAATTTTAACCGGCCAATCAAGTGGTCGGATGTCTGGAGAGTTGGTTAACATATTCAACACCACCGGAGCTCCACATAAGTGTGTCACGTGATGGCGGCGAATTAGGGAATAAACCAATACCGCATCGAATTTTCTAATGCATATATTTGTGCCGCCGACGGCGGCCATTCCCCAACTGAAACTCCACCCATTAGCATGAAACATGGGTAATGTCCATAAATAAACCGATTGCTTTGGAACTCCCCATTCCAGAAGCATATCCAGAGTTACTATAAAACTTCCTCTGTGACAGTGAACCACTCCCTTCGGCGAGGAAGTGGTTCCAGAGGTGTAATTAAGAACGATTGGATCCCATTCACTCGCCGGCCGAATCCACTGGAACTCTGAATCCCCTTTCCGAATCATTCCCTCGTACGAATCCACAAAATTCCCTTCAATCAAAACAGAGGACGATGATTCCTCTGCTGCAGCGTCATCGGCAACGAGGACGAGCATTGGACGGTTTATCTCCGGCGGGAACAAGTCCAAGGCATTATGGATTAGATTACAAAAGGCCCGATCGACAAATATGAGTTTTGATTCGCTATGGCAGAGCAGGATGGAGATGGTTCGAGCATCCAGACGGGTATTGATAGTGTTGAGAATGGCGCCGGTCATCGGAACGGCGAAGTGGAGTTCGTACATGGGGGGAGTGTTGGGAGAGATGACGGAGACGACGTGGCCTCTCTGGATGCCGATGGATGAAAGGGAAGAGGCGAGTTGAAGGCATCGACGGTGGGTGTCGGACCAGGTGTAGGTGGTGTTGCCGTAGATGATTGACGGAGAGTCGGCGTAGATGGTGGCGGCTCTCTCAAGGAAGCCGATGGGAGTGAGGGGGGAGGAATTAGCAGGTCGTGGCTTCAAATGTTCCATGGAAATGGATATGGTTAAAGCTCTGTAATGGTTGCTCTGTTCTTGACTCAAATATGAGAATTCCGTTGTAACTTATAAATTTGAAAGTTACCAATTATAAACCTAGCTATTAAATATCGATATCTCACACATAAAAATAATTATATAATAACAATAATAATATTACTATTATTATTATTTTTACCAATACTAGTAGATTTCTTTTGAGCCTTTTACTTTCCTTTTATGGTTAAAAAAAATCTGTCCTTTTATTTCTTTAAATAAACAAATTAATTTTTAATTTTAGTAATTTAGTATATCTACTTTAAATTTTGTAATAATTTACTGTCTACCAAACAAAATTATGTAAAAATTAATTTTTATAAACTTATTTGATTTTTTTTTTAATTTACATGAATAAATCGACATTATTTATTTATTTATTTATTTATTTATTGATTTATTGATGTGAAAGTGTGGGCAATTTAGATGATTTAAATAAGTTTAGATTAAATTGCATTATTACTAATTGAAATAGAAAATTAAAATGAAATAGGGAGTGAAAATAAAAAATTGAAATAAGAAACGAAAAAAAAAAAATCTAATCCCTTGAGGGTACAACGTTCTCACTGGCCTACCATCCAGTCTCTACCCCCTTGAGACACAACCGTTCCCGCTAGCATACCACCTAGGTGTTTACCACCCTTGAAGGCACAACGTTCTTGCTGACATACTGGTTGGTGTGTCTTATATTGATAAGCACTAGAACTATAACCTTTCATTTGACTACAAAATAAGGAAAATTTTGAAAATTAAATGATATTTTTAATTTTTTTTTAAAAAAATTTAAGAATATTTTTAAAATAAAATATTAATTCACCACTATATTTTTAGAATTTTTTAATTTAAGGGAATTTTTGGAATATTTTTAAAAAATTAAGGGTATTTTTGACATTTTCTTAATGGAAAGATATTATTAAAATTTTAACTATTTTTTAAATATACAAAATGTAAGAATATTTTTATTAATTTAGGTTCGCAATTTTATTCACCTAAATTAATATGTTTAATTAGACGGGTTCAATCTAAATGGTTTAATCCAACCATCTAGTTCGGTTCAGTTAGATTGGCTCGGTCACTTCTGGAACGATTTCAATTATACAAATATTTATTATGAATTTGGCTCAATTTTGAATAGCTAATTTTTAGCTTCACTTGCACGAGTGAATATGAAAGAGAAAGGTTTGCTATAACTTAGACTAGGGATTGATGCGTTTGGCTTAATTTCTTAATAAAGCCTATGAATTATGGTGAATTGGAATGAACCAAATAAATAATGGAATAGCGATCCCATTTGTGGTTATGCACGTGTCATATATACTGATATGTGTGAATTATCTGTGAATTGGTATGCTTATATTATGTTTATGTTATGTTATAATATGTAGATTGTATGATAATAATTATGGTGCGATGTGTTCAAGGATATGTTTGAGATAGGATACGAGAAGGATGCACAAAACGAAATGCAACGATAGGAGTAAGAAACGTTCATGAAACGTTAAGGTTAGGTTACATATCGCAGTGCTATGGATAGGGGAGATTGATGAAAGAATATGGTTAGGATATGGGTAGAAAGGGATAGGTTTGTGATAGATTGATAGAACGATAGCATTAAGATACGTTCTTGTGATGATATGACTAAGGTACGTTCACGTAACGATATGACTGTGATAGGTATAAGAACGTTAAGGCTATGATAAGTTAGGGAACGATATGACCAGTTTACGATATGACATGTTTATGATACAGTACATTATGATGTGACCATTGAGGTAATTGTTGTATGAATTGCACGTTATGAAACGACATGTTAAAAGCATAGAGCGTGATGTTATGTTTTCTAAATTGTATGTATACAGAATGTTATGAATGACATGATATCATGATAAATGAAATGAAATGTAACCCCGTTAGGATTATGTATGATATGTAACTAAAAAATGATAAATGACATGTTAAGCATGAACGAAGATAGTGGAGATATCTTCATTAATGATAAAAGTAGAAATGTTGGAGACCTCATGCATTATCTATGCTCATGCATTTAGGGGGATATCCCTATTCCATCACGAGGGTACAGACACGTACATCCAATGGTAGGGGTACGTTCGTTATGTTTTGCATAGCGTTGTCGTGACGGTTACTAGTTCTAACGAGTGCCCGGCCTAAGGAGCTCCCAGAGTATGCTTGCCCGACAAAGAAAGTGGCCCAGCGGTGTGCGAACTAACTGGTGAGCCCATACTCGCACGTATGGGTTGTGTGTAGAGTATATGGTACACGTCCAAATTACCCGTTAGGATAGTACCGTAGGAAAATAGATTAAAAGGATAAGTTCCGTCATTGCATTCGCATGTTCTTGCATTTAACCCCAATAGTGGGTCACTTACTAATATTTCTTCAAATACTCAAGCCATGTGCTACTACATTTTTTAGGTTAAGACAAGACATTCGGCTGATGACGGCATCGCAACTCGAGACCATGACACATGCATATGATAGTGATATTTATGTTCTTAAACTTAGGCTAGAATATGATGTTTTTAACTTAAAAGCTTATTTATTTTATTTAGTTTTTTGTTGTGTCGTTTTAAAGATGTTTTCGAAACACGTAAGTCCATGGCTGTGTTTTAAGATAAATGATATGTTTTATAAAATTTAAATGAAGTCTTCCGCATTCAATGTTTAGGATATGTATACAGTAGCGATCTTAAATTAAGTAGAAAATTTCGGGTCGTTACATCTAATAATATGAACTTAGATGTGAAATCATTCTAACATGCTATGTTTTATTTTACTATGTTTGTGCTCAGTTCGTTCTCTACGTGAGATGAGAATACATATGGGGTCACTCACTTTATATACAAACTTCTACTAGGATCGTGATTTAACGATATGAACTTGTATGTGAGGTCAGTTCTTGCATGTATATAAGATGATCCTCTAGGATTGTATCCTACATGATAGGGTCACTCTCTACATGTTTATGAGATGGTCTACTAAGGTCGTACACAATGTGTTAAAAATTTCAAATGGCGAGGTCGTTCCTCCATGATTAAGATTATATGAGTAAGATTCATAGTTAAAAGAGCTCGAGGTTGTCCCTCACATGTTTAATGGAAGATCATTAAATGTAAATTTAGCTATTAGCACGTTTGATTGGTTTAAGCCAAAGATAAGGCTGGCAAGATCAAATTAGCTCATAAGAGCATTGTCGCAATCCAATTTTCAAGTATTCGAGAAATTGAACAGCAACTAAAAGATGAAAGAAAAAAAAAACAAACAATTAGAAATGCAAAAAAATAAGGTAAAATTTCGCTCAATACCATGGACGAAACCAAAATCCGAATCAACAAAAGTACAAAAATAGGTACGATTATAGTTATTTACAAGTATATGTGCTAGTAACTCTAAAGAAAGGAACACAATTTGACACATCTTGAGTTGACACTCTTCTATGAGGGTCGTGCTCCTAGGTACCTTCCCACTTCGACCAATACTTGAAAAGAGGGAAGGGATGAGTGAAGCGTGCCCTCCCCTAACTTTTGTGTCCGTGGTTAAACTCCAAATTTCCTTATAACTCACTAATAGATCTTGATTCAAGATAAATTAGGGCCAGTGTCAAAACTAGGACGGAAAACAAGCCAACAATGAACGAACAAGAACTATGAACATTATGAACATTTAAAAGATACTAAGTTGTTCAAATTAAAAATTCTAAAACCATAAATCAAATAAAATAACTACTAAGAACATTGTTTAATAATTTGTGATTTCTTCACAAACGGCTTGGTTTAGGCCCTATTGACATGGCCATTTCCTTCAACACATATTTCTTGATCTTTCCGGTCGATGTTTTTGGCAGCTCCGCCACGAACACCACCGTCTTCGGCACCATAAATCGCGGCAGCTTCCCTCTGCAATACTCAATAATCTCCTCCTCCGTCGGCTTTCGAGTCAATCCTTCTCTCAAGCTCACAAACGCACACGGCGTCTCCCCCCAAAACTCATCCGGTCGCGCCACCACCGCCGCCTCATTCACGGTTGGATTCGTGTACAAAATCGACTCTACCTCAACGCTGCTCAAATTCTCTCCGCCACTTATAATCACATCCTTCGATCGGTCCTTGATCTCCAAATATCCATCAGGATGCATCACTCCAACATCTCCGGTAAGGAACCACCCCTCGTCGGTTATCGACTTTGCCGTTGCTTCTCGATCTTTCCAATACCCAACCATGATCGATCCTCCTCTCACAACAATCTCTCCAATCGAAACTCCGTCTTGTTTCACACTCTTTCCAGTCTTTGAATCAACCACATCTACCGCCGCCACCGCTGCAGTCCTCACACCTTGCCGCGCTTTCAACCGCGCCTGCACTATCGCCGGTAGCCGGTTCCACTCTGTCTTCCAAGAGCAGCAAATCACCATCCCCGCTGTCTCCGTCAATCCGTATCCATGAGTAACATCAAACCCTAACGATTCAATGCGGAACAAAACCGCCGCAGGTGGCGGTGATCCGCCAGTGAGAATCTTGACCGGCCGATCAAGCGATCGGTTATCCAAAGAGTTCGTTAGCATATTCAACACCACCGGAGCTGCACACATGTGTGTGACGTGATGGCGACGAATTAGGGAAAAAATCAACGCCGCATCGAATTTTCTAATGCATATATTTGTGCCACCAACGGCGGCGATTCCCCAGGAAAAACTCCATCCATTGATGTGAAACATCGATAATGTCCATAAATAAACTGAATTCTTCGGAACGCCCCATTCGAGAAGCGAATCGAAAGCAGCTATGAAAACTCCTCTGTGACAGTGAACCACTCCCTTCGGCGACGACGTGGTTCCAGAGGTGTAGTTTAGAACGATCGGATCCCATTCACTAATCGGCCGAATCCACTGGAACTTATAATCTCCTTTTTGAATCATTTCCTCATACGAATCGAAAAAATCGATGCGAATTGAAACAGAGGACGACAGCGATTCCTCCGCCGCAGCATCGTCGTCGATGAGGACGAGCGACGGCGGATTCGTCTCCGGTGGAAACAAGGCCAATGCATCGGAGATTAGAGCACAATAGGCTTGATCGACGAAGACGAGTTTCGATTCGCTATGGAAGAGAAGTGTGGAGATGGTTCGAGCGTCGAGGCGGGTATTGATAGTGTTGAGAATGGCACCGGCCATGGGAACAGCGAAGTGGAGTTCGTACATGGGGGGAGTGTTGGGAGAGATGACGGAGACGACGTGGCCTCTCTGGATGCCGGAGGAGGAAAGGGAAGAGGCGAGTTGAAGGCATCGATGGTGAGTCTCCGACCAGGTGTAGGTTGTGTCGCCGTAGATGATGGACGGAAAGTTGCCGTAGATGGTGGCGGCTCTCTCGAGGAAGCCAATGGGAGTGAGGGGAGCGGAATTAGGAGGTCTTGGCTTCAAATCTTCCATGGAAATGGGTTTGGAGGATTTCGTTAGTGCTCTGTAATGGCTGCTCTGTTTCCGTCTCTGCAAATATGGGAAGTTAGAGGAACGAACAGGATAATTTATTATACAAAAATAAAAATCTTTGTATCTCAAATTTTTAATGACATAAATTAAAATTTTTATTAAGTGCTATATATATATATATATAGAGAGAGAGAAACACGAGTTAGAAGTGGGTAGCTTTAAAGGTTAACTTTATAAAAATTTCTTACTGCTAAGTCTTGAAAGGTTAACTTTATAGGACGCCACAATGTCAAATTGCTATACATTCCTATTAAATCGATCAAAGATTTTGATAATTGAAGTCTCCCAAATTGTACTACAACCGCTTCGATTTATACCCGAACTCAATTTACTACTCATTTATGTTAACTTAAGTTTCTATTTACCCTCTAATTATTTGAAACTTTTCAAAATTCAAAAATTTGGGTAGGTTTGCTAGTTGTTTTACCAACCTGCCCTACCCCGTTTTTAATATTATTATGAAAATTAGTGATGTGTTATGATTATTTGATATCTGAGTTCGGTGAGATTTACTTATTAAAGTAACATATATTATAGATAACTATATATTTACAAAAAAAAAAAAAATGACAACTAACTCGAAAATAGAAGGTTGTGTTGTGTGTTGGTGGTTATAAACTCTATTTCAGTCTTTCAGTCCATTAACAAAAATGAAACATTAATTCAATTTAATTTCAAATTAGTTAGGTGGGGAGATAGTTTATAAATGATTCTTAATGAGTTGACTTTAATGGAATTAGAATAAATACATGTTTAATTTATATATATATAAAAAATGAGTTGTAAATTTGTTTATAATTATTTTTATTTTTTTATACACAGGAACCAATTAAAAACCAATTTCATATTTCTTCAAAAATATATTTTAGTAGCTTAAAAAATTGCATATTAGATAAATAAATTCAAGTTTTTTGGTGGGTTAAGTATTTTTCTTTTTCTTTTTTTTTTTTTTTTGGATCCAAACGTGACAAAAATGTAGACGCAACTAATAAATTAATTTGAATAATATGATCTAACTTCTTGATTAATTGCAATTGGGTAGAAATTAATTAATTTATTTGTCTACTCGAGAAACTAATTACATTTAATAGTGTTAAATTAAAATACGTTAATTAGATTTCAATTTAAATTAATTTATGATAATTGACATTATATTCGTCTCATCAAAATTATTATTATTATTATTGGTAAAGAATTAATAGAAAAAAAAAACAAACTTAATAGATAATTAGAAATCAAATTTAAAGATTAGAAATGAGTTCTTATAATTTTAAAATTAGAATTTTTTTATAGTTTAATAAAATTTCTTAAATAATCTTTAATGTATGAACTATTTGTTATTATTGTTTATTTGATGTTTTTTTTTTAAGAATTTGATTAAAATTAGTAATAATTTTATTTTAAAATATATATAAAAAGTGAATATAATCTTAAAATTTGTAAAATATTAAGGCTAATAGAGTTTTTTTTTTTTNTTTTTTTTTTTTAAAAAATTAATGATAAACAAACCAAATGTATTTGATTTAAGAATGAAATGAAGAAGGAAAAGGATTCTAGTGTGTTATGAGACCCTAATGAACGTGTATAAGAAATCTTTGTGTGTTATTTGATGGTACCCTTGTGAGCACGTTTCTCCCGGGGTCTAATCAAAGTCAACCGACTCACATAGAATATGGAGTGAGTTTTCACATATTTAATCGTTGAGTTGTAAGGTCACCTCTTCTTCTATCTACTTCTCTACAAGAACTTTCTTCTTCCTTCATATTAGATCAGGTTAATCTTTTGGAGTGACGTTCGTGAATGATTATTGCTCAGCTTATTTCATATGTCTTGTAACTTCATCTAAATGGATATAGGCTTGGTTGTACCTCTCGTGTCATACCAATTGGCAAAGTAAGCTTATGGGCAAGATCATCTCTAACTACAACGGTACAAGGCGTTGGAGGATGTTGCCTCGTAACATGTTTTAAAATGTGTTGGAAATTACTTTTTTCGAAAAAATTAAATGAATCTGATGTTTATATAAATTAAATTTGAAATTCATATAAATTATTATAAATTTAAAATATTTATGAAGGTGAGAAGTAATATTGTAATTTTTAAAATAACAACAATATTTTTTAAATAAAGGATATTAAAAAAATTAAAATATTTTTTTTTTATTTTTTTTTATTTTTTTTATGAAATTGTTTTGTGGGAGAGTAGAGTGTTCAAACCGAAATCTGAATAAAATATCATATGAAATCGAGGAGTCTCTTAACGCGTTCAGCTCTCCGAATTCGAAAGGGAGAAATTTGACCAAATTAATATCTGGATAGAGAATACATTTTCCTCTTTGATCATTGAAGAGAAACCACAGTTCGTCAAAAGCAGCGATCGTAATCGGTGGCTATGGCTCGAGCAGGTGGTCGGAGCAGGAATGGGGATGGGAATGGGAATGGGAATGAATCGATGGTTGTAGGGTTTCTGAAAACGGCGTTCAGATTCTTGAAGATGGCGGAGTTTGAGATACTTTTCGTTCTCTTCTTCATTGTAGCTTTTATTATCTTCAAAGATCTCGTAAGTTTCTCCGTTATTCGTCTGTTCTTATTTTTGCTCTGTCTTGAGGCTTGTTGTCTCAATTTGATTGGATCCGATGATATAGATCGAAATGATAATTGTAGAGAGCCATCTTTGCTGTTGATTCGTTGTTTTGGGATCTTGTTATCAGAAGTTTCGTGTATGTTAGTTTACTTTGACCCTCGAATTAGATTTAATCTGAGCAGCTGTTAATCTTCTTTCCCTTTTTTTTTCAATGTATCTAGGTGCTGGTTTAGTCTAAACTTGTGAAAACATTAGAACTTTTCGCTAATTTCAGAATGACAAACTCAGGTTTTAGGGGAAAAAAAACTGCTGTTTTTTGGTTTTCAAAATTTGGCTAGTAGGTAAGAGAAATATTTTTGAAAGTAGATTAGAAAACAAGGAAGAAATCTATAGATTAGAAGACAAGGAAGATATTTATGTATGTATGATGTTTATAAATAGTAAACAAATCAAAAAAGTTATCATATAGTCCCTTAGATATTCCACTAAACACACAAGGAGTTAAAGAACTTGAAAAATTTCCTATATGTAATTGTCCCCAATAGAAAAATCTGCGAGATCCGGGTCACAATTTTGTATAGGCTATGGTTGAATTGGCTACTAATGTTGGCTTGTGAGCTTTGGTACTCGAACCATTGAATATTTAGGATTGCCTCTTGGCAGCAACCTTTAGATTTGTAAGTTCCAAAATTTTGAAATGGAAGAAGTGGCTGTTTTTGCAACCTCACTTTGGCCAAGTTGATGGATACAAATATTCCTACCTATTTTTCTTTTCTTTTCTTTTCCTTTCCTGGTTTTTTAGAATTCTTCCCATTGTGACTAAGAACTTGGAGAGGTCTATTAGAAATTTTGCACAGTAAGTAACAGATTGTAATTATGATAGCCACGACTGCATTAGATGGAACATGGCTGTTTCTGTTGGTCGAGAACGGTCTCATGTCAGGCTCATTAGAAAGCAATAGTGAGCTGGCCTATATTAAGAAATAGAATCATTCGAAGTGTCAAGAGATCCTTGGGGTTGGGAAATAGGTTGTTGTTGCAACAGTCATGGTAAAAGACTAGTTTTATATTGCTAGACATGGCTTTCTTATTGGAGGCTGACTTTCAAGTGGATAGTAGTTCTTTGGTCAAATTCTGAGCAGATTTCTATAAGGGAAACTGTACATCAAGTCTATGCTTCTCTAGGCGTAGGCTATATTTCATTGTGGAGAACGAACTGTTAAATGTTGGTGGTTCTTAGGTTTGTAAGATCGAAGGGTGGAATTGCAAGAGATGAAGGGAGAAGGCAAGATATGAAGTAGAGGAATGATATATTGAAGAGATAAATGATTTATATGTTCGTGTCCGCAATAGGACGAAAAATATAAGTCTAGACACACAAAGTATTCACAATACATAAGGAAAAGCTTTGTACAAAAGGAAATAAAATACGTTTAATGAATAAGAGAGTGAACCCTGCTGTACTTCTATGATCTCCTTTGGATAGAGTTTTGTCATAGTTTGATGTCTTGTTCATCTGTCTCTTCTTTTTGGCATTAATGAAACCATTTTCTCTTGCCAAAAAGAACATTTGGAGAATCTAGACGTCTGCAGTAAAAGTTATTTTGGTGAAGCACTATATTTATGTACCACACTTAGAAATAATATATTCCGGCCTTTTGCTTGTCATTTTGTCACATATGTGCCATTATTTAGGAGTTCCATAGCTATATTGTTCGCTTGGGAGCACTTTCCTTCCCTAGCTCATTGCATATAATAGGGCAGCTTCTTGAAATGTGAACATATTGATGACTGAAAGCAGTTCTTAGGATTCAGAATGAGGTCATATTGTAGAATGGATTCTGGTTCATAAATTCAGGAAAAGGGAAATTGATTCTCTCCTTCTTAGTTCCAATAAGCTTGTATAAATTTGGTTGCTTCTTTTCCGTTCTGAGGTGTAATGAGTTTGAGATAGCGAGATGCATGGCATTTGTACGATTATGGAAAAAACCTTCATATCTTGGATTTTCTTGAATAAATTGTTGTAGATAGTTCTTGTAACAACTCAAACCCATTGTTAGTAGATATTGTCCACTTTGGTCCGTTATGTAGTGCCGTTAGCCTCACGGTTTTAAAACGCGTCTACTAGGAGAGGTTTCCACACTTTTATAAAGAATGTTTTGTTCCCCTCTCCAACCGATATGGGATCTCACAATCCACCCTCCTTCGAGACCTAGCGTCCTTGCTGGCACACCATCCGATGTCCGGCTCTAATACCATTTGTAACAACTCAATCCCACCGACAGTAAATATTGTCTGCTTTACCCCATTATGTATCGCCGTCAATCTCACGGTTTTAAAACGTGTCGGCTAGGGAGAGGTTTCCGGCTAGGGAGAGGTTTCCACACCCTTATAAATAATATTTTGTTCCCCTCTCCAACCAATGTGGGATCTCACAATTCTTGATGTTGTTTGGTACGTAGGCATCAAAATTGAAGACTAATTTCATTATTTATGTGTCTTGTGGGCTGACTCTCCCTTTTCAACAGCAGTCAGATAGATTCATAGTGCGCTTGGTGCAGTAGTTAGTTAGTTGAGTGTCGGAATGCTCATGTTGAGTTTGGCCCTTTAAGTAAAACTTTCATATTTGATCTTTAATTCTCATACTCACGTCGTTTCATTCCTAACTTTCTAGTTTT